TTTTTTTTAACGAAATTGACCACTGAAACTTCATAATCGCATCCAAACATTTTTATTTGAGCTCTGATAGAAAAATTATACTTGGAAGCACAAGGAGCTTGTATCAGAGTAGAATCTCATATACCTTTTACTACAAGAAATGAAATGATTAGTTCTATAAAAATGCAGATTTTAAAGCATTCTAATGTAGATCTGGTATAATTTCGTAGTTATTTGACACACCAGCGTGTAAACTCATCGAGCTTCACACTAACACCTATCTCTGATCTTTCTGAAAATTGATAAAACTAAAAAATATTTAACAAGTTTGTTGTTTATTTCAAATTTCATCCATTATCATCATATATATATATTTTCGAGTATGAAATCATCAAGTATAATGACAAAACTATCTGTAAAGTAATTTTTTCTTAAAATAAAACAACTCCTTTTTAAGTAAAAGTTTTTCTAATGCAAACAACAATTATTGAAGATGCATTATACACTTCGTCTCGCTTTTTTTTTCTTCGACTGTGTTTCACTCGATAGACATATAAAAGAACATGCTGACGTGAAGACTAAATGTAAAAAGGTTCTTTGATTGTGTAGAGAAAAAAAGAGTAAAACACCATTTCAATCAGTATATTGTTATATGTGTTAAAAGGACATACTATTTACTTTCTTTTATCTCGTTTTCTAACCACTTACGCAGTGCATCTTCATAGATAGTTACACTTTTTTTTTTCGTTATTACTTTTTTTTCTAAAACATACATGAAAAATTGAGACAAATCAAAGTCGTTCGATTCTAACTTGTTTTATTCTTGATGTCTAATATACATCCATGCGTGTTGAACTAGAGATCGAAATAACTGAGAAAATCTTCATGAGATTTTGAATATGATCGATTTATTTCCGTGTTCTACATATTCCCCGTTAAAAGCTTTTCTTAAAATTGAACAAACTAAACTGATATAAATTTAGAGCAAAGCATAGACAAAAGATATAAGTTAATATAAATAGATGTGGTATGAATATTATTATTTATTCATCAGATAATTAACTGTATAAACTTGTTTTCAGATAACCAAGATGGCCTATCTGTATCTATTATGCATGTATTCTCTTATTTGGATTACAAGTGCGAATGCATCACTTTCGACAATAGGCCATGTCTACTATAACATGAGTTATAATTCAACAAGCACCATCATCACTCGTCTAACCGTAAAATATCAAATAAATTGTGCTGTTCAATGTGCAAATCATTTTGCCAATTGCACTACTGCTGTATTTGATAGTTTGAGTATTCCTCAATGTACGCTATATAGTGGAAGATTATCAACAGCGAATCTTACCGTGTCGATGAATACAATAGTTTATGACTTTCAACAGAGCAATTTAACAGGTAGGAAGGTTATTAAATTTGCTTCCAGACTACTTTGTATTTCTCTTTCATACATGAATAAATTACATATCATTATAGAGATGAGCATCAAGGACAGAAAAATGTATGAATGGCAGAAAGTATAGAAGTGAAAGTTAAAGTTATTGATATTAGAAAATTTTCATTATTAATTTCATTAAGAATAGACATATATATTACTATTATTTCCTCAGACTTATAATGCTGACGGTAAGAAAAGAGACATAGACATATGCAATCTTTTCATAAAGATCCAAACTGGGACATCAAGTGAACTCTCATAGCTTATAGAAGAACCTGAAAGATAATATACATTCATCGATTCTGTAACTAACAGTAAGGTGTACTATTTATGCTATAGATTTCCTTTTGTTTTTTATATAGCTACTCCGATCTTAGATCGTTGGAATAAAACGGGTATCACTGTAGCTGGTGCGAGTAATGGTTCTGTAGGCAAAGCACCTAATCTGCTCTCTACTCCATATGGCATCACATTAGGTTCATTTAACTCACTTTATATTGCCGATCTTAACAACAATCGCATACAAAAATGGATGATCAATGCATCGACTGGTACAACGATGGCTGGTCTCTCAAATGGAACCTATGGTACAAGCTCAGTTGCTTTAGACTCGCCTGTCAGTGTTGTGCTTGATTCTAATGATAATATGTATTTTACAGATAGAAATAATCATCGAGTTGTATATTGGGCAAATGGTGCATCATCTGGCACTACGATTGCTGGTATTGCAGGTACGTAAGATAGAAAAAAATATGTGTAAACTGTTAATTTTCGTTTTATGACTGAAATCTCTGTTTAATATCTTTTTTTAATCAATTAATTGGGGATTGCATAAAAACGAAGGCTGTTGAGAATAATCTGTAACATAGAGAGAACTTGTATTTAATTATTAGTAATTGCTATAGAAAATAATGCCATGTTATTGATTTCTTGAGATTTAAGTTATTCTTCGTGAATAAATATGCTAATCTTGATGTATTCTAATTTTTGAGTATATATAAACAAAACAGAAATTAATCAAACTGGACGTTGTAAGTGATTACAAAGAGTTACATATGACTAAAAGAATAGATCATTCAGACCTCAAGAAATTGAAATCAATAATGAGTATTCTTGGTGTATTGTTGTCAAGACTGAATGCACAACGCCTGACAAAATATAAGAGGAAGTTGTTTTATACAATTCTAATTTAGGTACCTCAGGATCTACAAATAATACTCTCTTTGGTCCAACTAGTATAGTCCGTGACTCAAGCACGGGTACACTTTACATAGCGGATACACTCAATAATCGGATAATGAAATATCTTGTGAATGCTACTTCGGGTACAGTAGTTGCTGGTGGGAATGGTCCAGGAACCGGTATTACACAATTGTACAATCCAATTGGTTTGGCTTTTGATTCGTCCTCAAATAGTTTTTTAATTGCTAATTATCTAAGTAATACTATTGTTCGTTGGGTGTTAGGTGCAAGTAGCTGGACACTCGTCATTGGTAGTCCCACTGGATTAAGTGGTAGCACATCGACACTTCTCAATCAACCAGTCGGTATCGCATCAGATCCAATGGGAAATATCTATGTAGCTGATTCGGGAAATCATCGCATTCAATTCTTCTTTGCAGGCCAATCCAACGGCACAACCATCGCTGGCGTCACAGGTTCATCTGGCATTAGTCAGAATCAATTAAATTCTCCCTATTGGGTCATAGTTGATAATCAACTGAACTTATATGTATCCGATACTTCTAACAATCGGGTTCAATTTTTTTCACATTTATAAATATGAGTTTTATTCTTTATTATACATCCCTCTAAATTTCAAATATACCTTTTATTCTTTAATTATTCCTGCATAACTTAAATACGTCATATGCATCATTTATTTATTCTTTTAAATAAATTTTAAATCTTTTATTGTGATCAAATAAATGTATTTCAATGATGAATCTAATACAATCATTCAGCAATCTCTATAGCCGTAACAATTAGTGAAACCATTTACTTCTTAGTTTTTGAGGTTTTTATAAATGACTCAAATAATAAAAAATATCAAAGAGAAAAGAGTTATACATCTGATCGATGCATTCCATAAAAATACTGTAAATTTATGTTGAGAAAATAAAATTATTAATATGCTGAAATTTACACACCGTTCCATTGAAGTTCTATACAAAAACTAAATAATTATTAAAGTATTGAAGTAGTGCAGATAATATTACCAATGAATAAACATATTGATAGACAGCTTGTATTGAAAATCAACGATCAATTTATTTAAGATCATTTTTCTCAGTATAAATGTATATGTCCTAAATGAATTATAGATTAACATTACTGAAACAATACTATACCATATATGTTTCTTAATCAAAATATGACATACATTCGGGAAAGAAAGCAATAGGAATCAATGGTTATGTATTCGTGCAACTTTTAAAGCAAAGGGAAAGGATAATATTAAGAAATCTGAAAAATATATGTATAAAATTGAAATATTATATAATAAATAATTCATAAATAATAATATGATTTACATTTTTTTTCCAAGAAGTAAATTTATTCAATAGAATATAAGGGGAAGTTATTTCATAAATCATTTATTTACTATCTATTTTTATCTCATCAAACATCAATATTATAAAAGCAATCATTGATTGTTAAAATATGAGATGTGATTGTTGGATTTTCGACTGATAATATGAAACATTAAATAATAATAATAACCCAAACAAATATCATCTTTTACATTAAATATAATGTTAATTCTTTGATTAAACTACACAAATTTTTAGAGTTGATAATTTATTTATTTCACAGTTTAAATTTTAATGCAATTGACGTCAATAGTTGTAAAGACAGATTTTTACCTTTATACAAAACATGTGGTTAATATATCACGCTATTCAGCGAAATACGTCACTCTCTGCTTACATTATAATACATCGATTGTCATATGTTTCTCATCACTTTACATTCTGACGTAACTAATTTTTCTTTATTTAGGATTTGCGTTGTATTTGATTTACGTCAATACTTTATACTGAATAATTGTTTGCGTTTATCAAAGTATATATAGAGATAATCAACGCTAGTTAAAGCATGATCAATGGTTCATTATTCATGATTGTTTTACATCAGCATAGTTATTATATGTATTAATTTTGCAGCAACCAAGCCGCTTGAATCACGATAAGATGGTTATAGATCAAAAATACCAGCGCTTACTGTTGAAGGTTATTGTGAACCACCACAACAGAATGTTACTAGAAATTGCTCCTCCAACTACACTCTTACACATGATTACTGTATTTGCAATTACACTCAGACATCAAATAACAATTTAACCAATACTAATCATCATCGCCATCACCGAAACGAGCGAGTTAGAAATATTTATATCCGTGCTGCTCTCAATGTATGTGATCGTTGTAATAAGGATTATTCTCATTTTGATCCTATAATTACTACTAACAATGGTTCAAATGATATTAATGTTATTCTTCGTTGTTCTATAGATAAAAAATGGTATGTTATATTTTATAAGAGTAGCCTCAAAATAAAACTTTTCTAAATGCCTTTTTATATGAAATATTTTTTTGTGATAACTGATTCATAGATTTATTTAATCGAATGAATGAGCAAACTAATAAATATATTTTATTATATTTAGATTTGATAATAATTGGCATGTACCATACAATTTTCATTACAATACGTCTAATAAACATTATTAAATAATGCATAAAGAATTCTTTTTTTGTATATTTGCTGATACCTTTTTTTTATATTTAATAAAATTATAATACTACCAATGAAATATTATATGTACATCTCGTAATGATATGTTACAAAGACGAAAAAAAGGTAAACGACGTAACGAATGAAACATATAAATAATCGTCTGTATTTAAATACGATTTCTCATTAAAATTCAGCTATTCAAGTCAGTATTGCTGTCGATCATTCTTTTCACTCAATCATCGAACAGAATAAAAATCATAATCAAATGAAATAAAATACCTTTTTTTATTCAAACTCACACCCCACCACATCTATTCACTACAAAAGGACAAAATGTCTGTGAATGTATTGCAACTTAATGGAATAAAAAGACATTTTCTACGATGTCAAGGCTGTGTTTTTTCTCTCTTTTGTTCTGTCTTTCTTTACTGAGAAACGAATAAAGTTTCATTTTTACACTATCAAAGATAAAATGCATTAATAATCTAAATATAATTTTATCTCAGGCTAAATATTTAATGAAAAGGCGTAATTTCATAACGAAAAAAACAGTCGATATAAATAAATAATATATGAGACAAATATATTCATGATAGTTAAAGAAAAGGTCAATACTTACACTCTCAATCCGGTTAGTCCTAAGATTTTTTCTAAGATGAAAAACAAAATATTATTCACTTTTTACAGATATAACACATTGTAATTATTTCTATATGTATATTATATTTTTAATCAATAAAATATCTCTCTCAATGGGATCTGTTCTATCAAATAAAAATAGTCGTCTAATAAATATTGGATCGAAACTTATTTTTAAGGATAATTTGTATATTCATTCATATCCTATAATTTAAACAACCTACGCTTTGACTTGCTTTTCTTTAGTTGTATTATATCAGGCTCGATAAAATTCTCAATGACTCTCCTACACCCGACAGCATTTAATCAGATAAACTATCCATTAGAAGAATGACCGAATTTAAACATACTGTTTTTTTTATACATAACAAGAACAGTAAAAAAAAAAGAATGATTAATTTTTTTTTCTAAGTCAGAAAATATAAATGAAACCTCACCATAGTAACTATGACGTGCGATTATAACGAGTTCTTCTGTTATTGTTACTGTTGTTTACAGCCTCAAGTGAAAAAATCCAAGAGAAGAGAACAAAAAATCGAATTTATTTTTTCTCCTTGAAAAGTCATTTGATTTTTTTTTCGTATTTAAATATCGGCGCACAACTGCATACAACAGACATTTGCCGTTAAGCCAAAAATATATTCGTAACTTTCCATCAATTAAAGTTTCATTATGACACAACCATGGAATGGTAATTATTATTATCTTATGAATAATTTTATTTATTAATTTTACTATTTTTTCAGAATCACTATGCGGCTGCTTTGATGATGTAGGTTCATGTCTTTGCGGTTGGTGTTGTACACCATGTTTATTTGGTCAAAATGCTGAGAAAATTGATGGAAGTAGTTGTTGTCTCTGTTGTCTTGGTTATATCGTTCTTAGTCCATGTTATATGTGTTGGCTTCCACATTATATGAAACGACAAACACTTCGACAGAAATATAATTTAGTTGAAGAACCAAGTTGTGGTGATCTTCCTACAACATGTTTTTGTAGTCCATTGGCACTTTGTCAAGAAGCTCGTTTTCTCAAACGTCAAGGTATAGTTTTATAATAAAAATACATCAATAATCTATTTATTTCTATATTTCTCTTGTAGAACAAATGGGTGGTAATTTTGCACGAGGCGCACAAACAGTTCAACCTCGTTAATAAGATTAAATATATCAATCATATTTTTTCCATCATCGATAACTAACTATATTCGAACATTATTTTTTTGATTATTTTAAAAGAAAACAAAATGATGTAGGTTGATGATATAGAATTTACATAATAAAATTGAAGCTCCACTTTTTGAGAAAAAAAAATCACGAAATAAAAAACTAAATATATTGTAAAAAAAATCAAAAAAATATTTTTTTCATTAGAGTAAAGGCTAGACGGATTTAGACAATGTTCTATGAAGTATAAAAAAATTCCATTGTCGTTATTTATTTAAAGAATGAAAAAGAATTCATATGTATAGTTCTCGAACGCATTGTAGTTTATTCGTTTTTAAAAATTTTTTTTGAATAGAAAAAGAAATATAGGACAAAATAATTACTTTTATTTATTTGATTTGAATATTTCAAAATGTATTTT